TCCCACTCAGTCGGCGGCTATTCCAGCTCATCGCCAACCAATCACGCGCCTCGCCAGTCGCCCCGGTCTCAGACCGCCGGCCATCAGCAGCCCTACTTCCCGCCGACTCTTGTCGGCCCGCCTGGTCTCCTCAGCCCTTCACCGCTGCCCCACCAGCATTCGCCCCGACCCGCGCGGTATCTGCCTACACCTGGCCATCCCTCCTACCCTTCGCCCCAGCATCTCAGTCCCGAGGCGGCGTGTGCGCCGCGCGGACTGGCCATGCGAGTCCTCACCAACGGCTTCCCAGCCGGCGCCGGCAGCAACAGCAGCAGTGATTCCGGCCTCGGCGGTGTTGGTGGCGGTGGCGTCTTCTCGGAACGCACCAATCAGTCCTGCTCGCACTCCTCCCTGAGCAGCACCAACGAGTCCGGCGGCCAATCGAGGCCGGGCGAGATGTCCCCCTTCGAGCAGACGATGCCACCTGACTCGCCGGCCGCCTCTTTCGCCCACCTCTCGACTCACCTCGGATCCCTCATGCCTCCGCCTCACTCCGGCCTCCACCAGCCCGTCGCGCAGCACCCAAACACACTCAGCCTCGGCAACCATATCAACCTTAACCACAACCACAACCACAATCACCATCTCGGCAACCATCAACACCAACAGCATCTCCACAATCAGCATCAGCATCAAAATCATCACCACCACCAACAGCAACATCCTCAGCATCTAACGCAACCGGGAGGCAACCACCATTTTGCACACTCCAACTCCATCGGAGGGTCCGAGGCCGGGGTGTATGGCCATCTGCCCGACTCCGCCTCCTCCAACAGCCATGCCTGGCCGACGCAACCAATCGATCAGGTCTACCCCAGCAACCAAGACGCTAATAGCGGAGCCGGTTCTCCCTACGCAACCCCTCTCCTCACCCACACCCATTCGTCCGGTAACCACGACACCGGCCCTCAGGCCCATACGCACAATCAGCACAACCAACACAACCAGCACAATCACAACCACAACCATAACCACAACCACATCCACCAGCATCAGAACCACAACGGCAGACAGCGATCAGAGTCGTCGTCTGACAATGCCGAGTCCCAGAGTCTGCAGTCGCCGGAGGCTCGCGTCTTCGCCACCAACGGGTCGGTGTACTTCGAGGAAAGGGGCGCCGAGGAGGTGGTCGTCAGCGGGGCAGGCGAGGCGTCGTCCGGCTTCCCGGGTCTCAGCAACACCAGCCTCTCGGGCTTCTCGGGCTCGAGTCCGGCCGCGGCCAGCTCGCCTCTTCTGCTCGGCGTCACGCCGACTCGAGGCCACGGCTTCCCGACCAACCCCTCCCCGACAGACTTGCCCCTTGGCCTGACCAATGGGGCGCCAGGCAACCGCGGGTCGAATCACAACGGCCGCACCAAGACCGCCGCCTGTAGCAGGCTTGGCTTCTACGCGGGCTCGAGTCCCGGTCAACTGTTGGGCGGACCTGCGCGGTCTGGCGCCTCTGAACTTGCCGCCCCAGGCCTGCCGGGTGGGGGGCCCAGGCCGAATGACTACGCCCCGACGTCGGCGTCGGTGTCGGCATCTGCATCGGCGGCCGACTCGGCCGCGGCCAGTCTCGCGTCGTCGGACGGCGAGACGAACTCGTCCGTGGCGACGGGAGCAGGTGCGGGAGCCGGGGGCTCGGGGAGCGGAGGCGGCCGTCGCGACCGGTTCAATCGGAAACCGGCGCCCACGCTGGCGACGGGAAGACGAAATCTGAAGAACGAAATGGTGAGTGCACAACGACGACCCAGTTTATTATGCTCCTCTTCATCATCTGCTATCGCGACGAGGACGACGTGGACATGTAGTCTCGCCTCTGCAACCGAGAGGGTGACTGACGCCCACAGAGTTGTAGCAGAGTGGGCATTCTCATGTCATGTCAGTCGCGATTTATTGTTGTCATCCGCTCGGCCACGTGGCTGCTTTCGGTGGCTGCGATGGTGAGCTCGAACGTGGTTCGGTGTGCAGGGCAGTGCATGACAAGTTTGACCGAATCAAACACTCATCTTGCCCTCATTTTGACAGGTCAGTGTCGGTCTGCCGATACCGGTACCGAGTCACGGGTCATGATAAAGATTAACCCCGAATGGGGTCGTTTTACGGAGCTGGTCGGAGCACAGTTGGAGAAAGTGGAGGTGTTGCTGGACAGTTTCTGACAGGATAGAGCCACCAATGTACTCTGAAAGATAGGAATCTTCTAGAGACGTGTGTAATTTTGTGACTTGGTCAGAGCCTAAATGTTGTCGAGAAGATGCTGTTGGCTTTGTGGAGGAGGTATTCATATCAAAAAGATAGCTCCACTGAAAATGTTGGAGGGTTTCATTTCTTACGAAAGTGCATGATAAAGAGATGTTTTGGTCGGCCTCACCGTAAGACGATGGCTTTAATGGAGAGTTTATGCGACACCCGCGGTTCGGATGAGACCGCGTTACGATTTGCTCCGTCATATGCTGGAGATTATCTGAGCTGGAAGTCACTTCCATATTGTAACGTGAGATGTGCAAGAATAACTTCCAACTCAGATAATGTCCATTACATGACGAACGAAATGTTAGCTCGGTTTCAGTCGAAACGAGAAGGATGTCTCGTGGAATGCGTCAATTAGAACTTTGCATTAAGACCGTCGCCTTCCCCTGATGCCAACAAACGAATCTCTTCATACAATTTCATTTAAAATAAAACTCTCCCCAACAACTTTATATAAAAGATATGAAGTGAAATTGGGTTTCGATAAATCTCATATAAAATTGATAGAAGTGGGTTGACCTCGTTGTCGCAACTTGGTCTTGTTTCCAGGACGACCATGTAGAACGCACCTAGTCCGAAGTCGTCTGCCATAGTAGTTGTCAGTGCACTTGATACATGAGTCCACTGTCAGATGCTGGGAATCATGACAACTACTATGGCAGACGACTTCGAACTAGGTGCCTCCTACATAGTCGACATGACAACAAGACCAAGTTGCGACGA